GCGCTTTTCCAAGCAGGACCTCATCAGCGCTGGGAGGTAGCCAGGCAGGAATCCCCCTGTCCTTGTACCCAGCCTCACAGTCCAGAGAAGGCACGCCACTGGCCTGGGATCACACACCATCCAGTTTCCAGAACAAATGCCTTGGGGCCCAGGTCCCTGAAGGGACGGGCCACTGCAATGACAGACAAACCGTGGCCTGGGGAGGAGTTTGGGGAGAGCGTTTCTGTTCAGGGCACGGGTGAGAGGAAAGTTAAAAGGACTGTGGTTTGCAAGACAAGAAGGGGCACCGGGGCTGGAAGGGTGACCCTGCTCTTTGAAATTTTATAGGGGAGACAGACACAGGGGCAGGTAGGGGAGACCTGGGCCATAGCCTGCTACAGCAGGGGACAGCCCAGGGGCTGTGGTCTGGACTAGAGGGAGGGCTTGTGCAGGGAGATGAAAAGTTACACACTTAAAAATGTCATGCCAGAGCAGAGATCAAGCTCCCGGTGACCCCAGCATCAAGAATGTGGGAAGCTCCCAGAACGTCTCTGCCCCGGCAGTGTGGGTAGAGTGCCCCCTGGTGGCGCTTACAGGAATCGTTTCATTGTGCAGCAAGTTCAAATTCCAGGCAGCCCCCTCCCTGCTCTGGCTCTCACTTGTGCAGAAGTCTGTATTGCATACTTGGGACTCCAGTAGTCAGCAAGGGCTTTAAAGCGTGGGCCGGCAGGGTCAAAAAATAAAACACAGCAGAGCCACGGACATGCAAGTAACACAAAAGGAAAGACGAATGTGTAGTGGCCTTCCACAGAAAGATCAAGTCCATTAGTTACAGAATAAATACACATACACAAAAGCTCAAGGTCCCATTTTATTCTGAATATTGGTCAAATAGTAAAAGTGCCCCAGTGCGGTTTATAGTTGGTGAAAATCAGAAACAACCTAAACGTACAATTAGAAGGCCCTGACTTGGTAAGTGAAGGCATCCCTTCTGTCAGAGGTTATGAGGCAGCCGTAAAACACCACGTTATAGGAGAACTTGTGGGGAGATGATCCTTCCGTATCATCAAATGAGAAATGCATGCGGCAAAAATGGGCATTTTGTAGAAACGGACTTTTGGAAGAATTTAAGTGTCTCTGCATAGAAGAAAACCCAGGTGGATATATCCTGACACACTGATCGTGTTTGTGTCCGGATAGCTCTGTATTCCTCATTTTCCTCTTTTTTGCTTATCTTTCCCCATAATTGCATGTGAAAGCTGAAGCCACGTAAAACTGGGGGCTGCTGCCCCCCCCCCCCCGAGCACCGAAAGGCAGGAAGGGTTGACAAGACTGAGCGGGGGTGGGGAGGCAGGGAAGGGCAGAGAAAGCCCGGACCCAGTTCAAGACCCGAGCTCTGGTTCTGTTCTCCCTCCGTGTGTGCTGTGTGACCTTGGACCGGCCACTGTCCCTCTCTGAGTAGTGGTTTGGTCACTTGTGAAATGAAGGGCGTGTAGCACCTTCTTCTAGGATGTCCCCCTGCCCCACCAAGTCGCCTCCCGGAGGCGGGGGGTCTGTGTGTTTTATCCGCGGCGGTGTCCCCAGCTCCAGAACAGGGTGCCACTTAGCTGAGGCTCGGCAAGTATTTGTTGAACCGAATTGAAGTCAACTTGGGTATCGGAACGAAACCCAAACAGAAGCAAACAGAGCTGCGGTGCTGGCCTTCGACGCTGCCCTGCCGGCTCTCCCTCCTCCCTTCTTCCCTCCTCCTTGCCATCGCTCTCTTGCTCCCCTCCACGTGGAGCCTCTGTCTCCCTTTGTCCATCCTGCTCCCTCCTCTTCTTCTCACGACCTCCTCTCTCCTCCGTTTCCTCTTCTCCCCCTCTTTCTGGTGGTGATTTTGATGAAATCAAAACCCCACATGCAGAACACGAGGCCGGCGCCCAGGCCCCCCTGGCTTTGGGGGCTTTGGGCCGAGGCCGTGCTCTGTGGCAAAGCCCCCGGGCGATTCTAAGGTGCAGCCAGGGTTGAGGTGCCTGGTCTGTGAGGCCGCTGGACGTGACATCACACAGACAGCCGGGAGGTCCCAAACCCAGAGAGTGAGCGGAAGATGCTTGAGGGAGGGAAGGGACTTGATTTGGGGGAGGGCCAGGGAAGCCCTTGTTGAAGATCTGGCCTTTACGCGGAGCTCAGAGAAGAGCAGGTTAGCCGGGCAGAGGGGTGGGAAGAGAGGCAGGCAGCAGGCACTAGGGGTGCAGGGCTCTGAGGCAGGGCTGGGGGGAGAAGGGTCCCTTTAAGGAGCAGAATGAGGGTGGGGGCAGTGGGGCCGGGCAGCGGTTTCCTCTTTCTGCACAGCGGGAAGCGTGTCAGGGACAGGAGAGCAACCCGATCTGGTTTCCATCTCACCGGGATGGCTCCGCTGCTGAACGGGGTGTGCAGGGTGGGGCAGAGAGAGAGGTGCGGGCAACCCCCGTCCTTCCTAGGAAGACGTGTAGCCAGGCAGAAGGAACAGCATATGCAGATGTGCAGAGGCAGGCAAGAAGCTGGCTGGGGAGGGGCGGGGAGGCCACCGTGAGCAGAAACCAGGGTGAGGAGTATCAGCCCCCCTGCCCCCACCCCGACGGTGCCCTTACGGCAGCCTTGAACCGATCCCAGCCTGGGGAGGGGGAGCCACGGGAGGTCTTGTAGGTGTGAGAGTGCAAGCTAGGGGGTCCCTGGCAGTGTGAGTGGGATGTGGGGGGACAGGAGGCCTGGCTAGGTGTCGATGCAGGGCTCTGCTGAGAGCAGGTGAGCAGCCGGGGGACAGGGGACAGGGGGACGATGTTACCTGTTCTTCTCTGTTACCCCTGCACCTAGAATAGCACCGGACACACAGTCGGAGCCTAATAAGCGTTTGCTGAATAAGTGCTGCATACCTGTCCTTCTGCAAGTTCTGCCCATCCATCTATCGAACATTTATTAAGCACCTAATGTGTGCCAGGCCAAGGTGAGGGTGCCAACCACATGAGGCCAAGTGGAAGGCTTGAAGGACTCAAGGTCTAGTGGGGAAGCAGGGAAAGAAGCAAACAGCGCCCATTAGAACCTGGTTCCAAGTAGTGGGGGCTGTGGGAAGCCGGAGGGGGCCCGTCCCCAGCCCCTCGTGGATGGTGGGTCGGCGCTGGGCTGTGTCTGCACGATGCCCTGCAGGGCGGGTGCCGGCTCAGGGAAGCTCTGTCCGCACAGCTGGCTTGCCGTTTGGGAGAGGCCGAGGGGAGGGGTGTCCCCTGGAGACCCGTGGCTGCAGCATTTGGGACTTGTTGACGGTTGAAGGACAGGACTGCCTGGGGCCCCCCGGGCAGGCACCTGCCTCTGCTGGGGGGACACAGAGGACCTTCGGGAAGGAGAGGGGACTGGGAGCCTGTGGTGCCACTCTAGGGAGCCTGGGGGCATCTTGGCCGGACAGACACTCCTCGGAGAACCGAGTGCCACACCTCGTTGTCTGCTGAACTGAGTCGTGCCAATAGGAGGGGGGTTGGCCTTCGGACCAAGGGCACTGGGGCCGGGGTCAGGCCTCGTGCCCTCTGCTCTCAGCCGGGGACCCGGCTCCCTCCCGAGTGGTTGGAGGAAGCATCCTCCCAGCTCCCTTCTTGTGTCTTCCTCAAGGACGCCCTGAGCCAGCTTCACGACGAGCCACTGGCCCTGCCAGGGGAGGGCGCCCTGGATGCCTGCCGAAGCCGAGGCTTGCAGACCACCCTCTGCTCCCACGGCGCCCCTGGCCCGAGAAGCTCAGCAGGTGTGTGGGTGCTGTGGGTGCGTCGGGTGCCTGCGTGGACCTCCGCTGACGGGCTAGCTCGCCTGGGACATGCTAGTGTGCCGGGGCGGGGGCGGGGCGGGGGGGGGGGTGACTGCCCTATTCTGCAGAGGGGAAGCTAAGGCTCAGAGAGGTAGTGTCGCTTGCTCGATGCCACACAGCTGGAGAAGGTGGGATCAGGGTGTGCGATGTCCAGACAAGGTCCTTGACGTGGGCTCACCTAGACATTGAGGCTCACTCCCTCCGCCCTCAGAAGGGTGCCAGCCTGGTGACACCTGTCCTAGCACGGGGCAGCCGGTGTCTCGGGAGGGGATGTCTTTGCAGAAGACCATGTAACGACTATTCTGTTCCCCCCCCTCCCCCCCTTGACAGCTCAGGGGTGAGACAGGTGTGAGGTCTGGGAGCTGCTAGGGCTCAGAGCCCCTTGTCCCTAACTTGTCCCTCATGGGAACCCATGTGTCTGGTCACAGTCTTGGGCCTGGCTTCCAGAGCCTCTGTTGCAAAAGCCGCTGCACTTGGGGAGCCCCAAAGCCACAATGTCCAACTAGCTGTCTGTGGTTTACGGACAGCCTTCCGAGGCCAAATGCAGTTTGCAGACGAGAGGGTTACTTACACCCAGCGGTGCCGGTGATGGGCCCCCTGACGCTCCCCCTCCCCCCCCCATTCTATTTCTGGGGAGCAGAGCTGGCAAGTCAAACAGGTCCGATTTGTCCGTGGAAGAAGGAGGAGGGGGGCGGTCTGGTGGTGAAGTCTAGGGCCAGCCCCTTTGTCTGCATGCCAGCCGTGCGGGGCTGGGGGTGGGGCGGGGGATCAGCACCCCGTGCGACCACGAGGGGGCGGGGTTGAGGCAGGTCTCACGGCAGGTATTCGTCACCTGCGTGAGCTTTGTGGTCAGCACAGGTGGCTTCCAGACCCGACCTGCTGCTCATCGGCGACAGTCATTCCCCATCCGCGAGCCTCGGTTTCCTCGCCTGGCAGGTTGCGGCCATTGGCTGTCTCTGGGGCTCGGAGGACGTGAGTCCGTGAGAAGAGCCGGGCCCTCCCACGTGCAGGGGGCTCAGTCACTGGCAACAGTTGTGAGAAAACCCCTAGGAGGGTCTCTTTAACTCTTGGGGTCCTCTTGCCTCCCAGGCCAGCCCTCCGAGGCGTGCTGCTCCTGGGACCGTGTTGGGGCCGGGCGAGGCCCCTGTGTTGTGGTGGCAGGCCTGGAGGCCACAGATGAGACCCTGGAAGACGTCCCAGGATCTGACCGTGGACGGGTGAGGTCGGAGGCTTTCTGCCAGCCCAGGGCTCCAGCCCTACTGCGCGTGGGCGGCGGGAGAAGGGGCTCAAGCAGGGCTTGGAAGAACGTTCTGGAACTAACTGAGAAGGAGATTCGAGGGGATGCACTGTAACAGCCTGAGACCTGGGTGGGGAGTGGGCAGGTCCCCAGCCCGGGGCCGCGGGTCAGTCAGGCTGCACGGAGCCAAGTTGCCCCTCCCAGGCCCCCCTCCCTCCTAGCAGCCCCTCCCCAGCCCAGCCTGTGAGCTGGCCCAGTCTCCTCCCTGGATACATGCACCGAATTAGCATGTCTTGCGGGCCGGCACTGGTCTAGGCCCAGGGCCCCTGCCCCGCCCTGTCCCCTAGATCTCCCACGACGACGGAAATGTCCGGTGCTCTTGGAATGTAGCCGGTGGCCGGTGGCCTGTGGCTACCGTATTGGACACGCAGGGCTGAGGGGCGTTAGACGATGCCCACGTAGACGTGCAGCGGGATGTGCGGAGGGGGGCACAGTAAAAGGGAACATGAACCGTGTGGGGAAACGGTCAGGGGCTTCTTGAGGAAGTAACGTCTGAGCAGAGATATGCATCGATTGAGACTAAGCCACGAGGGGATCTGGGGAGGGATATTCTGGGCAGAGGGAAGAGCAGGTGCAAAGGCCCTGGGGTGGCACCAGGCTTGGTGTGCTAGGGAGGCCCGTGTGGCTGGGTGAGGAAGCACCAAGAGCATCAGGAGATGAGGTCTGAGAGGTGTGGGGGACTAAAGAGAGGCAGGGGCCGCTTCACACCTTCCCTTCTCTTCTCTTCCCATCCTTAGCGGACTCTGGCTGAGCCCAGCTTGGATGCGCAGACTTTTCTCCTCATCTGTGGCTGCCCCCCCCGGCCAGTACAGGGATGGCTCACTCCTCCCCGTGGAGCTGGCCGGGATTTCGGAGCAGAGGCTAGCAGCTGCCCAGGTCCTGGTGCAGACGTCCACACTCCCTCCCTGGGGGCCGGCCGGGGACCCCCCTTCCTTGCCGCCACTGCTCCTGCTCCGGGAGGCTTCTCCACAAGAATCCCAGATGCGACGGACGCTGGACGCCAGGTTCCCACCTGCTCCCAGAGCCGGAGGACCCACCTGCCGGAATCCCCACTGGAGAAGGGACCAGAATGCCTCCCTCTGCCACGAGCCCCCCCAGATCTCAAGTCACAAATTCAAGTCACCCAGAGATGTGAAAGGCGCTTGGAAGGAGGGAGGAGGGCCCCCAGAGTGGAGAACCGAGGAGTGGGGGGCGAGGAGGAGTCGGGGCAGGAAGGAGGCAGACCTTGGTGACGAGAGCAAGCTAAGTCAGGAAAGCCGAGACAACCCGAGCCTGGGGGACGGCGTCAGAGCCCCAGAGGGCCAGCTGGTCGAGAACAGGGCCTCAGAAACCCAGGCCTCTGTCCCCTGCCCTTGGCCCAGGCCAAAGCTCCCATGGCCTCTTTTGCAGGAGGAGGCCCCCGTGTCAACTGAGGGTCCCGCACCCCTGAGTAGGAGGTGGAGGGAGGGAGGGCTTTTGTCACCGGAGGAGGAAGAGGCCCCCCCAGCCAGGGCCCAGGGCTCCCAGAGGCCAAGTCCGGGAGGCACTCAGCTCCTTGCAGGGCAGGGAGAGGAGGAAACGCTCGTGTGGTCTGCAAATGCTCCGAATCTGCAAGAGGAAAGCCCTGGGGACCAAAGGCAAGGAGAGAAGGAGGAGAAAGCACCGCCTCTAGAAGGGTCTCCTCTGGCCCACAGGGATGTCCCTGGGGAGCCTGGCCCCGAGGAACGTGAGCACCAGGAAACGCTCTCCCCGGTGGCGGAGGGAGGTCTGACACTGTCTCCCCGATCGGCCTTTCCACCCAGGGGAACTGAACCTACCAGTGATCCGTGGGCTCTGAGCCAACAACCTGACAGGTCTGAGCTCAGAAGAGACGAATTTGGGAAGGAGGCAGAAGCTTCTTCCCAGCAACTCTCCCTCCTGCAGCGTGGGGGCGGGGGGCGATGGTGGCCAACCTCCACGCCGGCTGGAGGAAGCAAGAGTTTGGCTCGGAAACAGCACAGCCCCCCAGAGAATGCTCACTCCCAGCAGGCTTTGGCAAACCAGGGCTCGGATATTTGTTTGGCCAGAGAGGTCAGACCCGGGGGGACCGATGAAGAGGTCGGACCAGGCGGGACGGAGGACCTGGGGACCAGCACCGTTCTCCCAGGGATGGTGCCTGATTCAGATGACGTGGGTCCGGGTCCAGGGTGGCCCTCCGAGCTGGGTGGGAACCAGCCCTCCCAGCCACTGAGAGCCCTTGAAGAAGAGAGGAGAAGCTTTCACCGGCTCATCTCTGGGCTGAAACGAGAGAGAAGCCAAGTTTTACGTGACAACGCCGAGCTGCGGGGCGACCGAGAGAGATGCCGTCGAAAAGTGTGCGCCCTCGAGGAAGAGCAGGAGAGAAATGTGACCAAGATGGCGGTCCTCGAACAGGACAACAGCATGCTGGTCGGAGACATCGCGCTCTTGAAGAGGGAGCTGGCCCAATACCGGCAGGTCGTGTCTGACCTGGAAGACTGCAACGGGAAAAGTTATGGCAAAATTTCCGAGCTCGAAGAGGAGAACGAGCAGCTGAAAGGGCGCCTGGCCCAGCTTCAGAGAGCCACGGCCGAGAGCGCCAGAAAATCCAAGGGCGTGATGGAGCACGTCACGATGGAAAACCGGGAGCTCAAGGCGCTGATCTCGGAGCTCGGGGTCAGTTACAAAGAGCTGATGAAGGGCGTGGTGGTGGGGATAGAAGACACGGTCCAGGCCTTCAGGGGGGAGAACGCCCATCTTCTGAGCAGGATCCGCGTCCTGGAGACAGAAGTCGCGTTGGGGGCCAGCACAGCTGGGGGCCGCTTGGTGAGAGCGGAGGAGGGTCCGCAGGGGGAAAGCAAGATGGTGGGGGGCAAGGAGGGTGCTGTGGAAAGGGGGGTGCAGGTGACTCAGCTGTCAGGGCAACTGACCGCAGAAGCCCACGGGCCGCCCTTGGAGGAGAAACCAGGTCTGGCTGGCAGGTGGATGGGGCCTTCCTTACGCACGGAGAATTCCAGAAATGATGGCAATTCAGCCGCTTCGTCGCTGGTGGGGGGAAGTGCCGAGGTATCCAGTGCCCCGCGAGGGAACATCGACGGAGCAGGAGCGAGAGAAGCACGTTTGGAAAAGGAGGAGAAAAGACCATGGTGTTCTGCAGACCCAGGGCGAGCTCTGAGGGCAAGCAACGGCCCCCAGGTAGGTTGATCTCGAATCGCTGCCTTCTCATCATCTTGCTAACTTTCTAGAGTGCGGAGCGTCCCCTTTCCTCAGGTGAGCGTCCAGCAGCCCTCGGAGGAGGGACGATCATCGTCCCCATTTAGCAGATGCGAGAACGCGGGCACAGGGAACTTTAAATAACTTGGGCCGTCAGGTCGCAGGAAGGGTGGACTCCCACCCGGACGGCCCCTTCCTGTGCACAACCTGAGACAGAAGCCTGCCCCTCTGCTCAGGCTGTTTAGACGGGTGTCGGGTGGGATGGCGGCGGAGGGGGCCGTGTTCAGCTTTAACATCAGAGCTCACGTTTTCAGCGGTGCCTGGGTGGCTCAGTCGGTTAAGCGTCCAGCTTTAGCTCAGGTCATGATCTCGCAGATCGTGGGTTCACGCTCCGCATCGGGCTCTGTGCTGACAGCTCAGAGCCTGGAGCCTGCTTCGGATTCTGTGCCTCCCTTTCTCTACCCCTCCCCCGCTCACACTCTGTCTCTCTCTCTCAAAAAATAAGTAAACATTAAAAAAATTCTTTTGTTTTTTAAAAAAAGAGCTCATAGGGGCGCCTGGGTGGCGCAGTCGGTTAAGCGTCCGACTTCAGCCAGGTCACGATCTCGCGGCCCGTGAGTTCGAGCCCCGCGTCGGGCTCTGGGCTGATGGCTCAGAGCCTGGAGCCTGTTTCCGATTCTGTGTCTCCCTCTCTCTCTGCCCCTCCCCCGTTCATGCTCTGTCTCTCTCTGTCCCAAAAATAAATAAACGTTGAAAAAAAAAAAAAAAAGGCTCATATTTTCAGATCCAGGAGATTTTCAAGCAGTCCAGGTCCTAATTCTGCACATTGAGTCTCTCTCTCTCTTTTAAAGATATAATTGACATATAACATTGTATAAGCTTAAGGTACACAACGTGTTGACTTGAAACATTTATATGTTTCAATACGATCACCACCATAGGTTGGCTAACACCTCCATCAGGCTCTGCATTGGGTCTTGAAAGGGACAATGGAAAGAACAGAGGCTTTAGGACTCACTCTGAGGTCAAACCCAGCTCTGTACTTAACCACGTCTGTGATTTGGCGAAGACATGGGCTTCCCCGAGTCACTGTCCACACGTGTGGATGGTAATCGATGTTCAGGAATCGCAGGAAGAAATGCTCATCACTCTCACGGTGGTCTTGCATATCTGTTAAGACATCTAGCGTTGAGCCCTTTGACCCATATTCTCTCTCTCTCTCTCTCTGCAGCAATTTTGTCATTCGTTGCAAAGGATTCTCTTTGGGTTTTGCTGATTTTCTTCATTGTATGTCTGTATTTTATTTCACTGGATTCTGTTTACAGAATCGCTCCCTTTCTTCCACTTTGTTTTGACTTAGTTGGCTGCTTTTTTTCTTGTGTCTTGTGTTGAAAGCTTCGATCGTTTATTTTCAGCAGGTTCTTCTTTTGTGATCTGTGCACTTTAAGTCTTTGCAATGCTCGCTGAGCCCTGTTTCAGCTACGTTCCCCACATTTTGATATGTTGTGCTTTATGTCTATTTGGTTCAAAGTAGTTTCTAATTCCTGTTTGCAGCGTCTCTCTTATTCAGAAACGTGTTGCTGAGTTCCCAAGCACCTGCTGACTTTTTTGGTTATGTTTTCGTTACTGATTTGTAGTTTTATTTCACTGTGGTCAGAAAACATACACTATATTGTTTTAAAGTTTGAGATTTGTTCTAGCGACCAGGTTATAGTCTATTTTGGTAGGTATCCTGGAGGTCCTTGTAAGGAGTGACAATTCCAGAGTTCTTGAGGATTGTGATCAGTCCAAGGTGGTTAATTGTGCTAATCAGGTATTCTGTGTCTTCACCAACATTTTGTCCATGTGTTTTGTTATTTACACAGATACGTTTGCAATCTCTGAGTGTGCATTTGTGTATTTCTTCTTGGCGTTATATTAGTTTTGATTCATATATTTGGAAATTTTCTTTAACGTTTATTTATTTTTGAGAGAGAGAGAACGAGAGGAGGGCAGAGGATCTGAAGTCGGCTCCTTGCTGTCCGCGCAGAGCCCAATGAGGGGCTCAAACTCGCGAAACTGTGAGATGGTGACCTGAGCCGAAGTTGGACGCTCGACCGACTGAGCCACCCAGGTGCCCGTGGAAACTATTTATAAGATACACGCAGACTTCAAATTACGTTTTCCTGCTGACTTGATTCTTTGATCGTGATGAAGGGTCCCTCGTTATCTCTCAGCCTTCTTGCCCAAATTATACTTTGTCTGACATTAAAGTAGGCACATCAGCTTCTTTCCCTTAGTGTTTTCATGGAATCCTCAACTTCTTGTACACCATTCATCCTTTTGCATTCAACCCATGGGCATCCTCGAAATAGCATGCGACTGGTGTGTTTTCACTTAGCTCAGTTCCACAGCCTCTGCTTTTCAGTTCAGGTGTTCGGTCCACGTACATTTCACGCATGTGATGATGGAATTGGGTTTTTGTTCTCTTTGTCTGTTCTGTTCTGTTTCTCCTTTCTGGCCTTTGCTTTTGGTATTCATAAATATTTTCTATTATTCATTTTTCTTCTCCGTTAGCTCATTCTGTTCCTCATTTTTTCAGTATTTGCCCTAGAGATTTCAAAGTGTGCCTGGTAATTATTTAAATGTACCTTACATTGGTACTTTTAGCAGGTAATGCAGAAGTCCCAAATAAGTGAATAATTATTAATGATTAATGCAAAAATTTTAACAGTTTATCTCCATTCCTCTTTCTTCTTTTCTTCATTTTTAGCATATATATTATGTCTCTGTCTAATAAATGTCACGAGGCGTTGTTACTGTTGTTGTTTGAAGCCAGCAATGATCTACGTTTCCTCACGTGTCTGAGCTGTGCATTCAGTCCTGGGGATCTGTTTTCCTTCTGTCCAAAGAACTTGGTTATTTCTTCTGGTGAGGATCTGGATTTAGAATTTTAGGTAGGCAGATATCTCCCCCTCTTTTCGCCCTTTGAAGATCTCATTTCATTGCCTTCTGGCTCCCATAGCTTCTGTTCAAAAATTGGTTGTTTTTATCCGAGTCCTTTTTTTTTTTTTTTTTTGCTTGGTTTTGTTTTTCTGAAATACATGTGTTATTTTGTCTCTGACTGCTTTAAGATTTCCTTTTTATCTTTGGGTTTTGGCAAATTGACTATGATGTGCCTGGTGTGGTTTTATTTATATTTATCCTGCTTGCATTTTTGTGAGCGTCTTAAAATGGTAGATTCAAGGGTTTTTTTTATCAAGTGTGGAGAATTTGGGGTCGTTATTTATTCAAATATGTTGTTCTGTCCTATTTTTCTCTCATTTCCTGGATATCCAGAGTTTTTTACTCTATCCCATATCTTTGGAAACTGTTCTGTTTCTTACTTTTTAAAAAATATTTGTGCGTTAGTTTGGATGTTCTATTGACCTGTGTTTAGTTCACTAATCCTGTGTTCTCTTGTGTCCTATCTTCTGATAATTCAGTCCTATGAGTTCTTCATTCCATTTGTTCTATTTTTTGGCTCTAGAATATCCATTTTATCCTTCTTAAAGAGATTCTGATTCTCTATTGAAATACTCCCATGTTTTCATCCATTTTGTCTATCTTTCCTATATTAAAAAAAAATCTTTTTTACCATTTATTCATTTTTGAGAGACAGAGAGAGACAGGGTGCGAGCAGGGCAGGGGCAGAGAGAGAGGGAGACACAGAATCCGAAGCAGGTTCCAGGCTCCGAGCTGTCAGCACAGAGCCCGACGTGGGGCTCAAACCCACAAACCATGAGACCATGACCTGAGCTGAAGTGAGATGCTTAACCAACCGAGCCCCCAGGCACCCCAATCTTTCCTATATTTTGAAGGTCTTGTCTGCTAATGCCAATATCTAGATATCTCTGGGTCTGTTTTTATCAACTGTTTGGTTGATCTTTGGTTATCTTCTTGGTTAAGTCCCATTTTCCATCTTCTTCACGTGTCTGGTAATTTTCAGAAACTTTTGTATGTTGGACATTGTGTAGGATGAGATGTGGTAGAGACTCCTGATCGTTAGCTCCCTCTAGAGGATGTTGAGTGTGTCTTCACAGATCGTGGGATGATCAGCAGACCGTTTCATTCCTGTGCAGGTGTATGTGAGTTTCAACCCCGTCCTAGGGCCTGATTGTCCTCCTACAGTGTGGACCTTGCTCCTGGGTCCCGGACTTTCAGTGGTAGCAGCTGAGGCCCCTGAGTATTTGCCGAGGATGCTCAACTGGGGCTTGGCCAAAAGTCTGCCAACTTGGTGACGGTGTGCGACCGCTGAGGTCTCTTCAGCAATTGGCCGACCAGTTGCTCTCCTTTGCGAGGCCCCAGAGTCCCACACTATGCTGCTCAGCTTAGGATTCAGCCAAGGACCCAAGGGGGCATTTCCAGGGCAGTGCCAGGCTCTCTCCTTCCTGTTACTTTGTTCCCCAGACCCAGATATCAGAGCGCCTCTGAGCCCTCCATCTAGCAGGACCGCCGCATGGCCTGGGCTCCACTCCTGACCCAGGCTTTGGAAAATGCACCAGAGAGAAATCCAGGGAGAAATGGAACTCACCTTGATGTACATCCTTTCCCTCCAGGATTGTAGCCCTGCCTCGGCTGCCACTCAATGCTCGCAAAGAATTGCATTATGCATTTCCCCAGATTTTGTAGCTGTGCAATCTCAGCCAGTCAGACCTGCTAGGGACTGGACTCGGAGGGGAGGAATATCAAGCTGAGCATTTCAAGGTGGGAAAGGAGCAACAGGCAGAGAGCTTTTCAGGCAGAGGGAGAAGTAAGTGGCAAGGCCCTGGGGCAGGAGTGAGCCTGGCTCACTGGAAGGACAGAGGAGCCAGCGTGGTGGGATCACGTGGGCAAGGGTGGGTGTGGTGTGAGACGGGGCAGAGGGGGGACAGCCTGCAGGCCCCCGTTAGGATCCTTTGTACGTGCAATGGGAAGCCGCTGGCGGGTTTTAAGCAGGAGAACAACTTGGTTCAATTTCTTTTGTAAAAAGATCACTGTGTGCTGTGAGGCAAAGGGCCAGGGGGATGCAGGGGAACAGTCAAGACGACTTTGCAGTCAAGAGATGATGCCAAGACACGATGCCAGGGCGGAGGAATTTGGAGCTGAAAGAAGGGAGGATTCCAGACAAGAACCAGAGCCGAAAGAAAGGAGGTTTGTGGACGCACAAGAGGCAGAGCATGAGGAAGCCTCCCCTTTCCATCATCTTAAGTCAAAACCCGATTGTGTTGCTCTTTTGCTTAAAACCCTTCTGCCTCTTCCCTCTTGCACTTGGTGTGAACTCCACCTTCCTTCGGGCGGATCGTGAGCCCGGGAGCCTTGGCTACTGCTGCATACGTCCTACCCTCTGCACGCTGGCGTCCTTGCTCTGCCCCTCCTCGACCCCACTTCCTCCTGGGACCTGTGGCTCATCTGCGGGGTCTTCTTTTGGGGGTCATCTCCTTCTGGCAGCCCAGGATGGCCTCAGGGTGGAGGCGTGATGCCACTTTCATAGCGTGTCGTGGCTCACAGTGGGGACCTTTGCGCCACGGAAATCGGCAAATGCTACAGATTTGTGTGGCCCTTGACCCGCCCACAGAGCAGTTGTGACCACGTTCGCCACCGCCCGCCTGGGTGGCAGTGGGTGCCTCTGGTTCAGTGCCTCCTGGCCTTCCCCTTACCACGCCCTGCCAGTCCCCCCCCCTGCAGACAGAGCTCCCAGAGGGCCGTGTGCACCGTGGCTCTCAGCCCAAGTACGGCGTGTGGCTGGAGCCTGTGCCGATAGTCTGTTAGGGAACAAGTGGGTCACGGGGCTGTTCACCAGGCTGCTGGCCCCCACCCCACACGTGCATTCTCTTTAGAACGCACGGGGAGTTTTCTCTCAGGATCCTTGGGGCAAAGCCCTCGTCCAAGTCCTGGAGGGGAGGGGGGGCCGGGGGGGGGGGGACACAGCGAAGGCACCAAACTTCCCAGAAAGGCCAAGTTGTTTTGCAAGTCTTAGAGCCGGATTTCATGGAGCCATCCGGAGAACCCATCTGTTCCTGACAGGGCCCAGCCTGTGCGTCTCAGGCCCACGCTCTGTGAATTTCTATTAATTAGAAGAAAACCACATCCTGCTCTCGGATTCCTTGCTAACGAGGTGGAGGCCTCATCAGCCGTGGGGCAGGCTGTGTCCTCAACACGGTGTTCTCTCTCCTCACCCGGCAGGATGGCTCACCACCCGGGGCCAGGAGCGCGAGGCAGGCATGGCCTTCCCAGGCCTCAGATTCCCAGGGCGGCTGCCTTAGTTGGAAGGTGGACCACCCCAGTGAGGATGAGGGTCCGGGAAGCCCCGAGCTCCTGGTCTCCCGCGAATGGAGCCGTGATTAGCAGATTTGCTCCTTCACAGGCCACTTTCGCATGGGAACTGGGAACTTCTTGATACTCTGGGTCCTGGACCCAGAAAACCCCCTCCCTGGTGATCCCATGGAAGGGCTCGGAGTCTGGGCAGGAGCCGTGTGTCAGAGTCTCTATCACGGCCTCGGTTACAGCAGCAGATTCTTAGAATGACCTGCACCTCCAACACGGTGCAGAAGGCTTCCCGTGTGCTAACACAGTGTTTTCAGTATTCTTTACTAATTTGGAAAAATGCTCATGACGTGGTATTAAAGGGGAGAAGCAGGATGCAAAATACACGGTGTGTTCAATGTTGTGTAGAAAAGAATGTGTGTGTGTGCGTGCCTGAGTGTATGTGTCTCCGTATAGAAGTTACTAGAAAATAAAACTGTAGAGTCCAGAACCATCGGGGGACGTAGCGTCACTGTCATTTAATCACCCTTCCCAGAGTGCTAAATTACCTCTCCTTCCCGCCTTGCTGCCTCCCAGAAGTTCCCCATAACGTCCGTATGAAAGCTGCCCATGTCTGACCCAAAAAGAGTGAGAGACAATTTTGTACTGATTTAAGAAAAGTGGGGAAAATGCAGTATCCTCTTTTATATCAACAGATGATGCTTTAATGTGATAAGCATCTCGTAATTGGATTTGAACCTTAAATTCCATTCATTATACTTTTTTTCAGCGGAGTGGTGACCGAAATTGATTGAAATAGATTCTGGAATGCCATGCCATTTTACGTATTTTTGAAAATATATGCAAAAGATATAGATAGATACATGTGTCTCTTGAAAATCACACTCGAGAATGTTATTCTCTAATTCTCTAGACTCCCCCAACACCCTGATTCCCAGCATGGGCCACACACACACACACACACACACACGCGTAAGGAAGGGCATAGCAGAAAGACTGGAGAAAATACACGGATGATCACAATGATTACTCTGGCTAATAGGATGTGGGGTGACTTCTGCCACTTTATTTTCTGAAATTTTTCACTTGAGAAAAAAAAACGTAGGCAGAAAAAGAATTAAGAAAGAAAACGGATCCTGTTTGTTTGCTAAGGCAAGTTGCTTTGGAAGATAAGCTAACCTAAGCATTTCGTGCGATCTGTGATTTCTGCCTCTGCAGGGCACGGAGACAGACGCCCCCAAAGAGGACCTCAGGCTGTGCATTGGGCACCTCCAGCACCAGGTGCTGACCCTGCGGTGCCAGCTCAGAGACCAGGCTTCTGCCCACCGGGTACTGCAGGTGTCACATGGGGAAGCCACCCGCCTCCGGGACCAGCTCAAGGGCGAGGTAGGCTGGGCCCGCAGGTTCTTTCCCGCCTGTGAATGAAACGTTCCCAGGCTCCGGGGAGTTTTGAGAATAGAAGAATCAGGCAAGACGTCACCATTCCCAGCGGTTTGCGAGTATTTATTAGATGTCTCAAGTAAAGAACGGTGTGGGGAAGGAATCCCTCCACCCAGCTGACTTCTGTTCCATCTAAAGGTGGTAAATACGCGTAATGGTTTCCTAAAAAGTCTAACAGGTTTTCAACTGTTACGTAAATAAAAGTCCTTCCTCTGTAGGAATGAAGCGAGTGTCCCCTGTTCATTGTCTTGTCCGTCATGATGGAGACGTGAATGTTCACAGGTGATAAAATTGCATAGAACTTAGTACACACACACACACACACACAGACACACACACACACACAGACACACACACACACACACACACACACAGACACACACACAGACACACACACACACACACAGACACACACACAGACACACACACACAGACACACACACACAGACACACACACACACACACACACAGTACAAGTAGAACTGAAGAAACCTGACTAACATTGGAAGATTATACCAGCGTCAGTGTAATCGACATGATAACGTTGTCACATACAGTAATTTTACAAAATGCTCCCCTTGGCAGAAACAGGGCAAAATTCTCTGTATTATTACTTACAAGTGCATGTAGATCTATAATTAGCTATTTTCTTAAAATGCAAAAAAAAAAAAATTAGTTCTTCCCCCCCTTTGGCCCCAACCCCTTCTGACCTCCAGTATTTTTTTTCAGCCTTATCTACTCATATTTGGTGTATGTATGGATGCATACACAAAAGTGAAATTATACCACCCCAAAATATTCTGCGCCTTGATTTTATCATTTAATAAAAATACTGGTAATATTTCCATATCAACACCTACAGACTGACCTCATCTTTAAAAAATCTGGCATATGGGGCGCCTGGGTGGCTCAGTCGGTTAAGCGGCCAACTTCGGCTCAGGTCATGATCTCGCGGTCCGTGAGTTTGAGCCCCGCGTCGGGCTCTGTGCTCACAGCTCAGAGCCTGGAGCCTGTTTCAGATTCTGTGTCTCCCTCTCTCTGCCCCTCCCCTGTTCATGCTCTGTCTCTCTCTGTCTCAAAAATAAATAAACGTTAAAAAAATTTTTTTTTTAAATCTGGCATATTATTTTTTCAAGAGGCCAAACCATAACTTATTTAACCAATGCTTTGTTTATGCAAATCCAAATTGTTTCTTTTCTTTGCTTTACAAACAAAGCTCAGTGAACCTTTCTATACCCCTGTCTTAGGATATGTTTCTGCTACATATGCAAAGGGTAACATTCTAGCAGAATAATTACTGGGTCAAAGGATATGTACATAATTGGCTTTGAAACATAAAGGCAAAGAACCCTCCAAAGTGACTACATCATTTATGCTTCCACCAAGAATAAATGAGGCTAGTGTTTGCCCACACTTGGTACCCCGAATGTTATCACACTTTACATGTTTTTGACAAGCTGATGGATGGAAAACACATCATCAACATTGTGATGTAATTTCTGGCTCCTTTCCCGTGCAGTCTCTGTATAATCAGATGCATTTATGCTATACTTAGCCTTATGTCCACGTTGCTTCATAGCCTTTGTACCCAATTTTTTTATCCTGTGTGGTAATCCATCAGCTGGGTGCGATGTTCATTCCCCTGTTGTTGGATCTATGGTTATTTCCATTCATTTATAAATTCCTGTTTATATGCAAGAGCTCAGAGAACTGGGGGCGTACTGGTCCCGAGTGGAGATGTTGTTGATTCTTAACAGATATTGAAGAATGCCTTTCCACGGCACTGTCACCTGCTTCCAAAGCCAAGGCAATAACCAGTGTTTTTCACTGTGCCTCAGCCAGCAAGGGAGGGACCATCCCTTTTCCCTCCTGTCACTGAGGTGTGAGAAATATAACCCCCCTACACATGGTAGGGCTTTTTACCATATCCAATGTATTTTGAAGTCTGGTTTTCATGATTTTCAATCTTTTTTCTCTCTCTGCCCTTCAGTTCGAATATTTCTTCCTAACCCATCTTCTAGTTAATGCTTTTTTGGGGGCATTGAGTTTACTCATAAACTCATTATTTTAGTTCTTAATTTCAGGGATTGTATGTTGCAGTCCTCGTATTTCCATTTGGTTCCTTTTCTTATAGTTTTCAGCTCAATGATGAAATTCTTGTAATATGATGATGGAACTTTTCAGTCGCACTTAGTTACCTTAAGATGGGTCTCTGATTGCTGGTTCGAGGCCCCAACCTCTCCGCAAGCTCCCCGACGCTCCCTACTGTCTGTTTGGTGATCGCCATCCCCGTGGGCACGAAGTGGTGTCTCAGTGTGGTTTGATTTACATTTCCCCGGTGGTATTTTCTCCCACCTGTTGTCTGTTTACTCTCTTCTCATTCACGTTTTCATGGCAAATGCCCCACCACACGGCGCCCAGCAACACATTCTTGCTATTTCCTTAGCGGAAGCAGAGACATGGTTGAATCCAAGCCTGCAAATATTATTGAGTGCCTTTTGAATGCAAGACAGTCGGCTTGGAGCTGGTATTTTACACTTTGATTACATTCAGGAAGGTATATGCCAAAAAATAGCTATATGGAAATGTTCATTGAAGCCTGTCTGTGAAACAAAGAAACAATATAAACTTTCACAGAGAATCGGTTAAATAGATTATGTGTCAGCCTCGTGATGAAATAATATGCAAGATTTTAAAAGAACATGGTCCGTTTGTATGAAATGACATAGAAATAATGCCATGGTTTTATTTTATTTTATTTTATTTTATTTTATTTTATTTTAATGTTTATTTATTTATTATGAGAGGGAGAGAACACAGGAAGGAGTTGGGGAGGGGCAGAGAGAGACAGAGAGAGAGAGAGAGAATCCCAAGCAGGCTCCGTGCTGTCAGCACAGAGCCCAACTTGGGGCTCGATCTCAGGAACCGTGAGATCATGACCTGAGCTGAAATCAAGAGTCAGATGCTTAACTGATGGGGCCGCCCAGGTGGCCCAAGATAACACGATGATTTAAAATCAGACGGCAATCCAAGATGTAAGACATTTGAATAGCACAGTTTCGCATGTGTAGGCATTGTGAGGGCGGGTATGGAAGGCTGAGAACAGCGTTAGAGGTCAGAGGAGGTCGGGAAGAGGAAAAAGGACTTTTATTTGTGTAGCTTTCTTTGTGCCGACTACAGAGGGAACGAGAGGGTGAGGCAGAAGGCCTGACACAGCAGCCCTCTTGTTCTGTCTTATGATTTGGTGGGTCAGCAGTTTGGACGGGACGCGGCTGGATGGCTCCGCCCCACAAAGCATCGATGGGAGTCACCTGCTGGTATTCAGCTGTGTGCGGGGCGAGGCTGGAGGGTCCGAGGTGGCTTTCCTCCCGTGCCTGGTGCCTCTGCCAGTTCGTAATAATGGTTTACCTTCAGTGAGTGCTAACTGGATGTTCTAAGCACTTCACAGGGGACAATTCATGGACTCCTCGCTGCAATCCTCACTAATTGGGTGGGCTCTGATAGGACGCCCACTCTACAGACAAGAAGACCGAGGCAGAAAGAGAGGTGATTTGCACAAGGTCACAGTGGTAGTGAGTGGCTGAGCCAGGATTAGGACCCAGGGTGTCTGGCTCGGATTCCCAGAGGTTAACACAGCACCAAAAAAAAAAATTGCTTCACGGGGAATCCGGGAAGGCTTCCTTCTGGAAGGAAGAGGGAACAGAGCTGGCCGGGCACCTGCAATCTGGCAGAGCTCATTCGTAGCGCTCAGAGCATCCTTCCCCGCCCAGATCTCACCGGGCAGGTGAAGGGCAAGGCCCCCGCTCCCCACTGAGAACCACCCCCCCCCCCGCCACTGTGGGAAGAGAGGGGACCAGAGCCAACCTCTCTGAGCCCAGCTCCCCTGGGGAGGCTCAGGCTGTGTCAACGGGGGCTCGGCGTTATCAACCATGTTGGTTCTCTTTCAGCTTGAGGAACTTCAGAGAAAGCAACACGAGGCAAATTCGGCCGTGGCTCCTTTGAAGGTAACGATGTCTGTGAGATCGATACGCGATGTCCCTTTCCAAAAAAAAAAATAAGGTAAAATAATGAGCTTAGTATCTTCCCCACACCTCCCTGTCCGTGTCCTGCTTTCCTGCCTGAGAGCGTGACCCAGGGGGACTGTCCCCGTCTGTCCCGACCTCTGAAGCTATGGCACGTGCCGGCCGAAAGCACGAGGCCCTGATGTTTTGGGGTGGTGCGATCCAGGGGACCCGGGGAGCCCCGGCCTCCAGCTCAGGCCACCCTCCTGCCCTGCCAGCCGGTACTGGGTCCCAAGCATCACTGCCTAGGGAATGTTCCTGGGCCTCCGGGCTGGGCTGGGCTGGAAGTCCTGGCAGGAAAAGATGGTCACCTGCTCTTCTGATGGAGCAGGAGGGCACATCAGGAGGGAAGGGACTCGCCCGGGGCCACCCTCGAATGAGGAGGGTCTATCTGTCACCCCCTCCAGACATGCCCAGATGTGGGAGGTCATTTCATGCAGGAGGGTCCCCTCTCGCACCATTCATGCAGCAGATCCCTCCCAGGGGCATAGTGTGCCCAGCAATGGCACAGAGATGGTGCAGGGATCTAGGGGAATGTCAGCTTTGACCTTGAAGAGCTCCTGGGCTACGCGGGAGACAGACCCACAGATATGAACGTTAATTGTGGGGATAGAAGGAAGCCTGGAGCCGGGCACAGAGGGACAGCAACCCCTTTGCCCTTAACAATGACCACTGTACAGATGAGCAAGTCAAGGTGTAGAGAGGAGCTTGGTCACAGAGATGGTCGGTGGTGGGGCCCACGCTCTGAGCCTGGACCCCACCCAGAGGGCAGTGGGGAGCCCCTGAGGGTGTGTGGCTGCATGGCTACTTTTCAAAGCTGTTCTGACTTCGGGGTGCAGGGAGGGGGCCGAGCTAAGGCGGCACAGGTGGGTACAGCACAGGGCCCAGAGCCCAGCCCAGCTGCCCGGCCCCCAAGCGTGCCCTGCCTCCGCGGGCCCACCTGGAGCACCTCTGCTCCCACCCCTGCAGGCCAAGCTGGCTTCTCTGGTCCAGAAGTGCCGGGAGAGGAACCGCCTCATCACGCACCTGCTGCGGGAGCTGCACCGACGCGGGGCCGAGGATCACCTGCTCTCCGAGATGGCACGGGGCATGGTGGACGACGTGGCACTGGCCGAGTACGCGGCCACCTTCCTGGCTCCGGCGCTCCCAGAGGTAGTCTCCAGAGACCCGCTGACACTCTTCCTCCGGGAGCTGAGGGCACACGGCTTCCTGTCCACCTGCCTGACCCGAACCGTCCCTCCCTCCCTCTGTCCACTGAGCCCACCCAGAACACGCCCAGGACTCTTGCTCTGGGCCGGGCCCTGTGCTCCTGGCTGGTGCAGGATGGCGAGCTGGGCATCTTACCCTTAAAGTGCTCCCAGCACATGCAGGAGACAGACACACACAGCCACAGTCCTACAAGCCCCGCGGCACTTAACTTCACCAGAGGGTTCTTGCACGTGTGCCTCAGGACCTTAGCACTCACCGCGTCCTCTAGCAGCCTCCCAGCCATCCTTCAAGGCACAGTTCAAGTGTGACCTTGCCCAGGGAGGCTTCCCTGATTCCCATGCACCACAGAGTCAGCCACCTCCTCTGTCCTCCATGGCACGTGGATGTTCATGACATGGCACGTGGGAGGGATTTTGCCCTGCTGTCGTGGGAGCTTTGTCAGCACCTCTCTGATGGGGCCAGAGAGGCTCTGTAACCATCTGTGTCTCCCTAGTGCCTGGCACAGAGAAGCCGCCCGGGGGAGACTGGTTGAATGAATGAAATAATGAACTGGATGAATGAGGGTCTCCTCTCCTGATAGTCAACCAAAAAGGAAACTGAGGCCCAGAGAAGTTGGGAGGCTCACTCGAGGTCACACAGCCCCCAGGTAGTGTGGACGGTCTGGATGCCGGCTCTGACCCAGGTCTGGGGAGGGGCTCCCGGATCTGTGCCCAGCTCTGAACAGCAGCGTCCCGGCATTTGTGTGCAGAGTATGGTGGGTGCTCACTGAGCCCACCCTCCACACACACGCGCGTGTGCGCACGCGGGCAGCTTCATTCCTGGGGACCGGCCGCAACGCCCCCGCCGAGCACGGCTCCAGATGGTATGAGGGCGAAACGCAGTTCCTGCTGTAGACACAGCCGGACCTGCTCCCAGGCTCCTGATCAGCAGCTCGGCACTTCCCAGCCCAGCTCTGCAAGCCCGGCCTTCTCTGTCCCTTCCTTTCCCCCATAGTCATCAGAGGCCCCCTGGTCCCAGCCACCAACCAGCCCGGGAGATGGAGACCGGGAGGCCCAGGGATCTGCTCAGGGCTGTGTGACAGTTGAGTTCAGAGCCAGAGTTTGAATCCGGAGTCCCAGACTCTCAGTCCGGGGCTCATCTCTCTGCCCGAGTGGTTCAAACCTCTTGAGAGCCAGGATAGGGCTGAGGAAGGAAGTTAGCATGTTGTTGAGAAGCTTTGCACAGTCTCTGTGTTGACGGAGGCAGGACAGAAAGCAGAGCTCTGGGGTGTGGGCTGTAGTCACCCGGGAGGGCCAGCTGGCCCCCTGCTGAGAAGGCATCATAGCAGTGAGAGCCCCACCCCCCAGGGGCTGCTCTGAAACTAGAACTGAAATGTTCACCGGGATTGGCTGGGCTGACTCATAATGACCAAATTCACAGAGACTGATGTACAAACCTTAACACTAATGTATCAGTTTCCCATGAGAACTAGAACCCTGTGCAGGCTGAAGTATTGCAGGGATGGATGGAAACTTGTCCGCATATTCTCCCCCTGTATAGTGGAATTGTCAGGCAATCAAGTTCATTCATTCGTTCCTTCGTTCGTCTGTTAGTCACTAAACATTTATAACCAGGTCATTTTGGAGGCAGGAATGAAAACAGGGAGAATGAATGGTGTTATCAGCCGGATTCATTCATTTCCTGTAAGGATGTGCTCCTGGGGCCGGACTTGCCTCCCGGGGTGTCTTCCCCGAGACCTGTTGAAAGCAACGGCCAGTTACATAAGCGTCTACTCCCTTCTTTTAAGGACTTTGCATTACTTTACAATTCCGCTCTCCAAGAACACCCCTATTTGCACAATCATGGGGACGCCTCACGATTCCCTGTGCAAACCACAAAACCCTGGCTGTGCCGTTGCCCCCTACCGTGACCTCAAGTGTCGAGCACTGAGGGGGAGAAACGGCGAATCATTTCTCAGAGCAAACCTGCCGACAATGGAGGAGTAGATAATCGTGAGTCGTGGTGAGGGTCATGAAGGAAGCGAAAACGGGACTGGGGCAGAAACTGACTGACTATGTGTGTGTCTCTGGGCAAGACTCGTACTTGTTCTCAGCCTCAGTTTTCCCATCTGTAAGATGGGAACAGGAGAGCCTACTGGGCAGAGTTGACGTGAAGACAGGTCGTTTGTGAAGCGCCCTGTATGGGGGGGGGGTGGTTCCACTTGGTGGGAAGCTGGTCTGTGTGCGGGCAGCTGTCAAGAGGGTGGCCACTGTCTAGCTCTATGGCCTTAGGAGGGGACACTTCCACGTACCCCTTACAGCGCTCGGACGCTGTCCCAAGTGCTTCATGGAGCTGACTCGGGAGGTCCTCCCACAGGCAAGGTGCTGTCATGGTCCCTTCTCCAGTTGAGAAGCTTGAGGCTCAGGGGTCTCAAGTCCTGCCCAGAGACACACATCTACAAGTGGCTCTCCAGCTCGGCCTTCTCTGCAAGAGGCCGTGTGCCTGAGCTGAGCTGGGCTTTGATGTTGACAGGGGACCCCTGCACCCAGCCAGTGCCGTCACCACCCCTGCGGGAGGGGGGTAGAGTGTGTGTGCATGCACCGTTGGGAATATGGGCGGTGCGGGGTCTGGCACGTCCCAGGCCCTCAAGGACTCGGTCCCTCTTGTTTCCAGAAGGCTGGCCCTCCAAGTGCGGCTACAAGGCCGTGATGTGTTTAAGAAACCAAGGGTGTTCCGGGCTGGCTGCAGGGCCCGGGTGCTTCGTGGAGCAGTGGTGGGAGACTGGCTGGGTGGGAGGTCACTTAGGCTGTGTTCCTTGTGAGTGGAGACACCAGTGCCAGTGGTGGAGTGGGGTCCCCGTGCTCTGGGAAGGCGGACCCAGCAGGTGTAGGGGTGAGACCCGGGGGGGGCCTTGGGGGGGGGGGGGGGGGCTGTGCACACAGCAGCTTCTCTCTTTCAACAGCCAGTGACTTGTGCTGTGAGGACCGAGGGCCAGGCGGCAGGGCAGAGTGTTGCTGGCGGCCGGGCAGGGGGTGGGTTTGACGGGCGCTGCCTCTCATTCAGAGAACACAGATTCCCCGTGGAGGCTTTGGGCTCTGGCTTGCAGCCTGGGGGCGCTGCCCAGCCGGCTGGGGAGACACGGGTGGGCTCGGGGTGGGATGTGCCAGGGCAGAGGGAGCACTGAGGCCCGGCCGTGCTCCCGGAAGCATCCCGGGAGGGCCTGGACCCTGGAGGCTCAGGTGGTCTGGCCCCTGGCCTCGGGAGGAGGCTCCCACTAAATGCAAAGGTCTGACGGAGGACGGGGCTGGGGGCTGGGGGCTGGGGTGGGGCCCAACCGGACGGGCCCCATCAGACAGGCCGCTCCTTTATCCACTAGCCGTGGGGATGCTGGCCGAGACTCAGCCCTCCCCCTTGCCAGCGTTTTCCATTCGCTCATTTCCTCCTCCCAAAGCCTGCGTTTTTAGGGAGGCCACTGAGGCTCCAAGTAGTCTGCTGGTTGCAGACGGCTGCCTCCTCGCTGTGTCCCCACAGAGGCAAGATCTCCCGTGTCTCTGGTTACAAGGGCGCTAATCCCATCCCGAGGGCTCCCTCCTTAGGCCCTGATCACCTCCCAAAGGCGCCCTCTGAATACCATCACGTAGGGGCGCTGTGCTGGCCCTTGGCATGTCTGGCCTTGCACGTGCCCCGGTGTCTTTCCTCCAGCTCAGCTCGGGCACTGGTTCTAAAGTGGGGCATTTCCCTGAGGCCAGCTCGGCCAGCTTCCCCACCAACTTTCAGCGGGCACCACGGGGGTCTCGCCACCTCCCTGCCTGTACCCGGAGGTGGGAGCAAGGGGAAGGCAGGTTCCTTCCCTTTTTTGGATTCCTGAAAACCTCTCTGGGAGGTGGGGGCGGGGGTCTCAACTCCACCCACCCCTCAAGCTTGGCTTAAGTGGGCAGTGTCCCCCGCCCCCAGTCCCAGGACACCTGTTTTCTCCCCGGCTTCTGCCAGGACCTAGGCTGTTGACATTCCCAAGCCAAGAATGAGGCACTACCTTTCTTTGTGGTTTCTCTTCAGGTGTCATCCCCTCCTTGGGGGCAGATGCCCTTGGTGGGAGGGGGCAGCTGGGGAGGGGGTGCCAGGCCTCACCCCGGAGACGGCCCTGGTTAGGGTGCAGGCACGCCCTCCTGCCTGAGCCTGAACCACCTCCCCCAGGGTCTGGCCTGCTGTCAGCTCAACAAATGGCAGGTCCCATCAGAGAACTTGATGAGTGGGGCCTGCCTGGCACCCAGCGGTTCCGGGACTCGGGGGTCACTGTATTTTCTCCCCGCACGTTCGTACCAGGCAGACGGACACGCCCCAGACCCCGAAGAATTGCCGGCCTGTGACCGTGGTGCTCCCCCCTCACCTTCCTAAGCTGCCTGTTCCCTTAGGCCAGGGGGCTGCGGTCCCGCCACCGGGCTCTGTGAGGCTTCAATAAGACCTCGTGTCAAATGGCCACACGAGCTGTCACGTACAGGCACTCAGAGAGAGAGCACCGGGGTCCCCGGGCGGAGGTCGGGGGCTTGGGCATTCCAGCAGTGGGGAGCTGTCTACACCGCAGCCCTGGGCGGGGGCAGGCGACCGGCCAGGGGGCTGCTACCTTTGCTTCCTCTTGCCCCACACTCTCCTTCTGCTCCACCTCCTTGCTCTCCTCTGGGCATCGTCAGCGAGATCTATAGACGGGCTTCCAGAAGAGCAGTCGCGTCTTCACAAGCAGCAGCGGGGCTCAGAGCCCTAAACTCCCCTAATTCATTAAATCGGCGACCCCCAGGCCTGGGCCTCCAAGGATCCAGGAAATTATTTTCCCTTTAGCTCTTGCCTTTTATGAAATTTAGAATATGGCCCCCCAAAGTTTACATGGGGGAGGGAGGGGGGCGGCGCCCACAGGGCGAACGGTAGTCCGCTACCCTGTGTGGAGCATTTCGTAGACGTCCACTCTCCTCGCGTTCCGACAAGCCCCCGCCAGGAACACGTGAGCGCCTCCATTCTGCAGATGGAGGCGGCACGGCTCGGGGTCTGGGGTGTCTTGCTTGGCCGAGACCAAGGAGGCGGCAGAGCCAGGTTTCCGCGTGGCGGTGCCCGGCCCTGAGCCTCTCCAGGCCGGTGGGAAGAACGAGGGGCAGGAAGGGAAGGAGGATCTGCGGCTCCCCGGTCACAGGCTGCCCCCTGGCCATCGGTGGGATGGGTCTGAGGCTACTCTGGACACGAAGGTCAATGAGACCTCGTTCTCGTGGCGAAGGAGTCGGCATCGAACGGGCCCCCCCTGGGAGGCTGGTGCGAGGGACAGTAAACGTGTGGAGAGAGGAGAGAGGGACTTGATGGGGAGTATGCTTCCTGGAGGAGGCGGCACACACACCAGGCCTGGAGGGATACAGAGGGGTCGTAGTAGCCAGAAAGGTGGAGCGAAGGCCGTCTGGGCCGCGGAGAGCTGGACGTGGACGGGCACAGGGCTGCGAGCCGTGACGGTGCCGGAGGACACGCGGTGTCCCGGGGATATGAGCGCAGCGCCCCGTGAGCGGAAGAAGAGGCAGCGTGCCTAATACAGAAGGCTCCAGTAAGTGGGGCCGGTCAAGATGGTCAAGCCATAATCTGTGCCCTTGTGTATCCGTCGCTGGGTTGGTCAATCCATTTTCGAGGGGACAAAAGAGTCCCTTGTCACGGCACAGCCCGGAGGGGCTATGTGAGAAGCAGGTGGGTGAAATCAGGGAAGACTTCCTACCGGAGGGGACATTTCAGTTGGGTTGTGACATATACATAGAAGTTCGCCAGAGAAAGAGAGAAAGGGCAGGGGTCTTCAGGCAGGGGGCCAGCTGATGTGACTACCTGGAGGACACAGTGATGGGGAAGCGAGATATCACAGTGACCCCGCACACGGGCCCCTGCCCCGCCAGAAACGCCCAAGAGGAGGCAAGGTCTGGGCTGCTGGTCTGGAATCTGACCTGCCTTGAAGGTCCAGCCCTGCTCTTGTTAAACCAGCCGGGACACACCAGCTAGCCAACTCTGCCGCACCACCTCTTGTAGACCCTGCGCGGTCGTGGGACCCAGGAGGACAGGCACCCGGTCTACACGGTGGCGCGGGGGACCCCAGTTCAAGCCCGACCTGAGTTCCTGGGTGACTGAGCCAGGGACCCCGGGGCAGCTCAGCAGTCGGCCGGTGCAAGGTCTGGCAGGACCTCCGTGGAGGAAGAACATCTCTCCTGGAAACTTTGCCGTCCAGCCGCCCTCATTCCCTCCCCCCACTTTTCACCGCAGTTTCTAAAACACATTAATCACAGTCTCCGTTTGGAGATTTAATCTGAGTAGAGAAAACGCAATTGCTTTCCTGCACCTGTATTCCCTAAGAGCAGATTCTGGACTCCTTCGAGGGTCACGGGCAGAGGGGGGAGGGGTGGCTCTGACCGGAGAATGTGCTTTGCGCGGGAGGGGGGGGCGGGGCAGCGCATGACCTGCTTCCTCCCAGTTGCAGCCACATCCGCGGGAGGCTTGTTCCCCTGGATCACGCGGAATAACTGCTGACGCGTCTTTTCTTGCAGACCAGCCACCACCTGGACGTCGAGTCTGAGACGGCAGCAGCTGTAAGAGGTCAGTGCGATTTTCAATTAGCGATATCTGTGTGCTCAGACGCCGGGACCATCTGACAGGTGGGCCAGGGTCAAGTGCAGACTGTGAGGAACCAGCCCCGCCGTCTCCCCCTCCTGCCCTACTTGGCCCTGCCTTCTCGCTCCCCAGTGTAAGGAGAACACGGGACGAGAAACAGTCCACAGAAGTGGCCGGTCTCCTCAGCCCTGTGGTTTCGCTCCTGGAAATTCATCCTAAGGAAATAATTCTCTGTGTGGAAAAACTCCATGGACAGGTGTATTCATGCCCTGGCGTTTCTGATAATGAAAAGCTCTGTGGGGTGGGGGCCCTCCAGCATTGTCGATGAGCCCTGTCGTTTAAAAATTTAGGAGAATGTCATATATGAGATGGAGAATGGAATGCACTGGATGATTACAGGGATAGGGCTATGTAAGCACGTCATCTGTATGAGTAGCAACTTAAGCGGGCGGATAAACTCAGATGCTCACAGCGGTTACGTAGGAAGATGGCAGCGGGTGATTGCTTTTGTTCTGTTTATTATGATTATTTTTAAATTTGTTTTAATGTTTATTTATTTTTGAGAGAGACAGAGTGTGAGCGGGGGAGGGGCAGAGAGAGAGGGAGACACAGAATCCGAAGCAGGCTCCAGGCTCTGAGCTGTCAGCACAGAGCCCTATGCGGGGCTCGAACTCACAGACTGCGAGATCATGGCCTGAGCCGAAGTCGGATGCTTAACAGACTGAGCCACCCAGGTGCCTCTGCTCTGTTTATTCCTAAAAAGGAAACTCAGATGCTACCTGGGCAGATAGGATTTCCCTGGTTAAGTGCAGCATGCTCTCAGCATGGGGGAAGGGATTCGTTTAGCATTCTGTTCACGTCGGATGCTCAGCAGAAACGTGGAGAAAGTGGGGCACCGGCCTGGGTGGCTCAGCCAGCTAAGCCGTGATCATTGGCTCAGGTCATGACCTCCCGGTTCTTGAGTTCAAGCCCTACATCGGGCTCCATGCTGACAGCGTGGAGCCTGCTTGGGGTTCTCCGTGTCCCTTTCTCTCTGCCCCTCCCTAGCTCACTTTCTATCTCTCTCAAAATAAATAAATAAACATTAAAAAAAAAAAAGAAACACAGAGAAAGCACGGATGGCATTGTCCGCAGGTGAGTGGGTTGCTCTTGAGATCTGCTTATCTGGCAATTCTTATTACAGGATCTTGTGCTTACCAGCTGTGTAATCTTGGATGAGTTAATTAGCCTCTCTGAGCCCCAGAGTCTTATCTTTTAAAGGAGGATAATATGACCTTTCTCAGGAGTGTCTTACTGCCTGACCCAAAAAGAGAGATCTTTTCTCGGTCTTTGTCCGGTCAGGATGGGCCTGCCCTCTGTACTGTCGTGTCCTCCTAGCAGTCTGAGTTGGCATCTGTTTTCACAGTTGGAAGGGCATGAATTCCACTTGGCCCTTCATCTGCCACTAATTTGTGCAAAAGTCCTCCCTTCTGTGGGCTCAGCGTCCTCAGAAATGTGCTCAATTGATTGAGTTACTTGTTCCTTAAACATTTCCAGAAGGCTACTGGGTACCAGACCCAGGGGGTGTATCTCAGGGTTTACAAAAATGGGTCAGCTTGCAGAGGTGGTGGTCCCTGTGTTGAACGAGCTGACAGCCAAGGAAAGAAAGGTGATGAGGGCAGGTAGTTTTCTAGGATACCCACAGCCATGACGGGACCATCAGAGGGGTGTGCATAAGGCACTCAAGGGTTTGTGGGCATCCGAGAGGGCCTCTGTCATGGGTACGTGGGGATCTGGGAATGAAAGAGAATGGAAAAGGTTATTCCAAGGCTCAGAGACTTGTGATTTTTAGAGTAGATTTCTGGTTTGAGGCTTGACTGAAAATACTCTTTTCTAGCTCAGACATACCTCCCGAAGCCCAAAACAGACAGTGTCATCATCCAAAGACCTTTGCATTCAGAGTCCTGGCCTGTTCCCGAGGCTGAGTGGCCAGCACAGAACACGGCTAGACCGGATTCACCAAAGGTGAGAGGATGTCAGTCATCTAATTTCTTCGATAAACTTTTGTTTTTTATCAAGACTGTAACACACATAAGGAAAATGGCACAAATTGTAAGTGTACAGATCAATGAATTATCATGGAGTGACACCCCAAAAGCCATCACCAGGTTGAGAACTAAAAAAACGACCAGCACCACAGAAACCCCTTGGTTTCCCTTCCTAGTCTCTATCTATTATCTACCATTTAATTTGTGGTTTTGGTCAAGTCATGTGTTCGGTGTCTGGTTATTTTTCCCCGAGTGCTAGACATCATGTGTCAAAACCTAAAGGTATAATCTGGGGTTCTGCCTCATAGTGTATTGTCTTCATCCAGAGCACGCTTCCTTTTGCTTATGACAGGTGGCTAGGCCAGGCTCAGGCCATTCCTCACATCATAACCTGGTTCAGAGATGGTTTCAGCACTTACGAGTTCTGTTTTCCTTCCCTTTCACTCTCACTCCTTGGGCATAGCCTTTGGCATCCTGACCAGAAGGCTGTAGTGTTTATCAGCATCTTTTGCCTGTAGCCCTTGTCAGTCCCATGAGGCTGGGAAAAGCCTTGCTTAGCCTTCTGCATCACAACTGCCACTGTTACCGTAGGCTCTCACCTGGAGGGAAGTATGGCCTCCACGGCCATGCCAATGACTCCCGGCTTCTCTCCTGTTTTCAGCTTTAGTCCCTCAGATCCTGCCCATCTCCGTAGCTCTCAGATGGTTTAAATACAAGGTGTGCTCTGTTCTGTCCAGCTTTTCTAGTATTTACCAGAGGTTCAGTCCAAAATGTCCTAACCACGTGGAGCCACAGCAGCCCCCTCTTTTCTCAGAGAGAACATATTTTACTGATGAGATGTGAAGTCTGACGGGCTTGAGTTCAAATCGCAACTGTAACTCAGCGTGATGTTGGGCAGAGGACTTACTGTGTCTGTGTCTCTGCTTCCTTGTCTGTAACATGGGGATGATACTTCCAACTGCTAGTATGATCACAAAATCAGGTAAACAGGGCTGAATAAGTATGTGAACAAGAGAGATGCTCAGGAGAAGAAGAAAGTCGCCATTACTCAGGAGGAAGCTGATCTTATTCTTAGCATTTCATCTCAGCCTATTGGTGATTTCCTTCCACCTGTCATTTGCGTGGCATCTCTCCTGCCTCCATGATTACATTAATTTTTTTATCTAAAAAATGGAGACAGTATTTACCTCTTAGAATTGTTAGGACAGTTCAATGAAAGCACACACATAACATGCTTGCTCTACTGCTTGGTACACGAGAGGTGGTCAATAAATGACAGCTATTGTTACTGGCCTTCATTTATTTTTAAAATTTCATTTGTTTATTTTCGAGAGAGGGAGAGGGAGAGAGAGAGAGAAAGCAAGTGGGGGGAGGGGCAGAGAGAGAGAATCCCAAGCAGGCTCCACATTGTCAGCACAGAGCTGATGCGGGGCTTGATCTCTCGAACCGTGAGATCATGACCTGAGCCGAAATCAAACGTTGGATGCTTAACCAACTGAGCCACCCAGACGCCCCTAGTGGTGACCTTCTTAAACATTTTTTCCCCGACTGGTGACTTTAATTTTAAATTACTCGTCTACAGGTTTATTACCTAAGAATGAGTACTTTTTTTTGTTTTTTTGTTTTTTTCCCAGCTTTGATCTTTTCCTAGGAAAATTTCCTCTGACTTTTGACCTTTGGCCTGGCTCATCCCAAGCAATAGAAGGCATTTTAGAAAAAGGAAACGGTACCCACAAAGGCGGAGGGGTCAGTGCTCCTCAGGTGTCAGGGGCATTGCAGGCAGTTAAACGTGGCTGTGGCAGGAAGTAAGAAGGTGTAGAGAGGGGTCTTAGAGATCCCAGTGATGATGTTAAAATTTTTTTAATGTTTTGTTTATTCATTTATTCATTTTTGAAGGACACAGAGAGAGAGTGTGTGTGTGTAAGCGGGGGGGGGGGGGGGTA